TGTAAACTTAGCTATTGTGAGTTACATTTTAGACACAATATTGTCTGCTTTTGCTTTGTTTTGACAATGAAAAGTTCCCCAGCAGAACAAATGTTTTGAACGAATCGGTTAAATGAATGATTTAATAACTCATTAAGACAGTGACATGCCGCCACCTACGAGCGGTATCAGTTTATGCAATTGAAAATGCATTCAAGCCACCTCTGACCTGCATTAACCAGTCAGTGTAAATACATCAGATGCAGCTTCTGCGCCACTGCAGTGCAAAGATGGGTTTTGCTGATACTGATTTAATTTGATTGGTAATATTTATCTTATTCTAATTTAATTTATTCATTAAATGTAACAATTTGACAAAAAATGATGCATACATCTAACAAGGTTAGAAAAAACTATGTAAAAATCAGTTTAACTTTTAAAGGGACAAATACTCCATTGTAGTGGAAAACTTAAAGGTATAGCGGAGGATTTTCTTTTTCCGGGTGGATCATCAAGACTATTGGTCCTCCTAGTTGTCAATCATTCTGGTGATATGTTTACGTAAGGCCGTCGTACGTGCTCTTCCTTAGGTAGTTTTCGCTTTCTGCGCATGCGCACTTTCAGGTGTATATGTGTGGTGAGCTACGGTTTCAGCCATTCATTGAAGCTCGCCGTTCTCACCGGGTTTTTTCAAAATGTCTGAGGGTCGCAAGAAATAAAGTGTCTACGAATTGTATGACAAGAAGAGAAAGGCCTCTGAAGAAAGAAACAAGACCAGAGTGTTTTTGGGTGAATATTTCACACGCTGGCGTGCGCTAAAAGCACAGGTTGGGCTTCCCACCGATGCCTCAGTCGCGAAGTTTCTACTCGACAGGTAAAGTTTGGCATGCTATTTGGAAAATCCATTTAAAATCACTGCTAGTAAAAGGTGAACTAGGCTCGTGCATGCTCTCTCGTGCACACGTTTAATAGGCGTTCCCTCTCGGGAGCAAATTCGGAAAGATCCTCCGCTATACCTTTAATATCTGTTGCAGCTGTGAACTAACCACGGCACAGAACATGAGGAATATGACAAGCTTCAGGAGTCAGCTGTCCACGGCAGTCCTGAACCAGCCAAACTACCAGAAGAATAATGGGAAATGTTTTTCCCCCAATAATCGCACACCCCGAGGCAGACACGCTGAATGTAGAGCTGCCCTGATCCAGAGATGTTCACAAGTAATTTTTTGGAAGTCCAAGTCAAGTCTCAAGTCTTTGAGCTCGAGTCCAAGTCAAGTCTCAAGTCTTTGAGCTCGAGTCCAAGTCAAGTCTCAAGTCTTTGAGGGGCAAGTTCAAGTCTCAAGTCTTTTGCCACGAGTCCAAGTCAAGTCTCAAGTCTTTGAGCTCGAGTCCAAGTCAAGTCTCAAGTCTTTGAGCTCGAGTCCAAGTCAAGTCTCAAGTCTTTGAGCTCGAGTCCAAGTCAAGTCTCAAGTCTTTGAGGGGCAAGTTCAAGTCTCAAGTCTTTTGCCACGAGTCCAAGTCAAGTCTCAAGCCTTTGAGCTCGAGTCCAAGTCAAGTCTCAAGCCTTTGAGCTCGAGTCCAAGTCAAGTCTCAAGCCTTTGAGCTCGAGTCCAAGTCAAGTCTCAAGTCTTTGAGGGGCAAGTTCAAGTCTCAAGTCTTTTGCCACGAGTCCAAGTCAAGTCTCAAGTCTTTGAGCTCGAGTCCAAGTCAAGTCTCAAGTCTTTGAGCTCGAGTCCAAGTCAAGTCTCAAGTCTTTGAGCTCGAGTCCAAGTCAAGTCTCAAGTCTTTGAGGGGCAAGTTCAAGTCTCAAGTCTTTTGCCACGAGTCCAAGTCAAGTCTCAAGCCTTTGAGCTCGAGTCCAAGTCAAGTCTCAAGTCTTTGAGCTCGAGTCCAAGTTATTTCTCAAGTCTTTGAGCTCGTGTCCAAGTCAAGTCTCAAGTCTTTGAGCTCGAGTCCAAGTTAAGTCTCAAGTCTTTGAGCTCGAGTCCAAGTCAAGTCTAAAGTCTTTTGCCACAAGTGCAAGTCAAGTCTAAAGTCTCTATTTCCATCTGATCTGTCCCCGTGCTGAGAGACACGAATTTGGAAACATGCTAAGAGACACGAAAAAAAAATAGAAAATCGTGTCAAATCAATAGATTTAAATTTCGTGACTATTTCACAAACTGGAATGAGTGCGTTGCGACATCGTATAGTCTAATCTCATAATCTACTTAACACATCCCTCTAGCCCTCGGACCTGGTGAAATATTAAGTGTGTCACATCATATGGATTCAACACTTTGTGATGGTTAGCTTGTTACTGTACCTGTGAAGATATATGCTAAATTTAACGTCTCTTTCACATTAGCAAGTGACTGACCTATCTGGGTGTGTTTTGAGGTGCCTGATGAAGTTCGACGTTGTGGATCCGGCATCATTTATCTTGGTGCCACACACCTTGCATGTAGCTGTTCGCTTACCACCACTGTTTGTAAAGTCATTAAAACCAAAACTATTGACAAAAGGCACAACTACGGGAGGACTTGGTGTCACCATCGTCAATGCATTTTATGATATGTGAGGGCGCGCACATAGGCATAGCGCATGCACGTTGCACAGTATGGCAAAGGGCAGGGGACACGGCATGCAGCTCATCATGCGCTTCCCCAACGTATATATGCGCCAATAAAAGAAAATAGAAATACATTAATAAATTTAGATTTTAAAAGCAATAATTGCATGAAAACAGGTTGTTGACGAGTCTCGAAGCTCGAGTCTGAAGTCTTTTGGGTCGAGTCTCAAGTCAAGTCTGAAGTCAGCTGTTTGTGCGACTTAAGTCCGACTCGAGTCCCCATCTCTGCCCTGATCTCCACTGCATCCAACACCATATAAACAGAAACTCAAGCAAACAGAGATCTTCACGAGACTCAACTCACAACTGGTTTCAATAGAGTTACAGTAGTAGAAACGTATACTGTTTACATTGCATTAGATATATTTGCGTAGCAGTCTAGCAGAACTGCTATTTATACCACTACAATATGTTAATATGCTAATTAGTTACCAAGATGACATTAAAGGAACATTTTGCTATTTCACAGAGCTTTTGTAACATCATTCGTCCAATAAGAATTTAGAGTAGGAAATCTAGTTTGACTGTTTTGAGTCTAATTCTAATTCTACGTTCTAAAAAAGAAAGTAATTCAATTAAATTCAAATTTATTTGTATCCACCTTATTCCCATACGCCCCATGATGCTTTGCGCGAATGGGTGTAATTTCCGTTAAGCTGTAAACAATCAGTGAAAGGCTCGCTCTATGAACGCAATACGTTAAAAAAGTGTCACAATGAGATTATGTTAATCGACTCACCCTTCAAACATCGAACATTAAAATGAAATTTAAAAGTTTAAAAGAATCAACAGGTACTTTCAACAGACCAAAAATAGCCCCATAAGCGCGAGTCTTTGGTTAAAAATCACTGTAGTAGGCAAATATATCTCTGTATTGTTTAACAAGCCTTAGTCAAAAATGTTCATTAACTTCAGCATTACGTGACACTATATCAAAGTGATTTCCGTCATTTTGACAGATTATAAATTGTATTTACCTGTGAAAACAAACCTGGAAAGAGACGTGAGGATTTGAGGAGAGTAACGAGAGATTCTTCAGTGAATTATTAATGGAATATCGTAAATTAAATTCGGGAGAACAGACCACAGATGTGCCGTATATGTTGTCCTTTTTCATACTTTTACAGCGGATTGCAAAGGAAAAAATAAAAATCATCACGAGGAAAAGATACAGCAACTGAAAAGAGCTCTTGCCGTAGATATTCTTGTTATAACATGTCACGTTAAAATACCAAGTATAACGTTATTCTCATGATGTCTGAAAATAAATCATGAAGGAAAATTGACAGCTCATCCAGTCAAACTGACGGATCAGCTTTATTTGTAGGGCAACCTTATGATTTGAAATGATTTGTTTGTTTTAGCCTTTTTGAATGGAAGTTCCCCAAACCGGAAGTGCCACCCATAATTCAAAACGCAGTAAGGTCGTCAGGAATAAGCGCTTTTCACAATACATATTGTTTCAAAGCAGCTTTACAGAAAGTGCATTTTTTAGAAATGTACATAGAAAAATACAGTTAGTTAATCATGTATTAATTTAGGGCATAACATATCGCCGGCGTTGAGTCATCTCTTCACTTCTTGTAATAAAATGAAATAAAGAACATTTCATTTCAAACTTATTTAAAAAGACTCAAATATTTGTCAAAATATCTCAAAATGATATTAAGTCGCTTCTTGTTTGTTTCACAACACGTTGGTTGTTGCATGTTTCACGCAGCTGGGAAATGAAATGTCCAGTGAGTGGAGCTAAAAGGTTAATAATGCTCTATTGTGCTGGAAAATAATGCACCTAGTCTAAACCCCAAACATTTAAACCTGAACAAAAAGCAACCGACCCATTTGAACTTGCTTCTACAAGTCTTTCAGCTTTTCATGACTCCTGTTCAAGAGTCGAATTTCCAGCAAAATGACTCTTCTATATTTTATTTTATGTACGGTCAGCATGACATACAATTAATCATGCAGTGATATCAACACCCACCCCTAAACAACAGCCTCCATCAGTCTAGCATCGGGATAATGATGTCCGTCATGACCTGCCGTTCCTTGTTATGAACTGACACTGACAGCATATTTCAGAAACATTCACACGGATGATGACATCAGTTCTTCGGGCTTTAGAAAGGGCTGTTTTTTTAAAAGCCGTGAGCACATCCTCAACATAGACAAAGTTTGAGGAGCAGCTTTAATTAAGAACATATTCACACCATTTCCATTATTCAGACACCTCATAATTAAAACACACATCATCCCGGCAGACCTCGACTGCAGCTTTTGCTTTCATGGGAATGTGTTTTGGTATGTCTGTGTGTAGGTGGGTGAATATAAAAATGGATCAAACTGTGTGTGTGTGGCGCTGACAGAGCAGAGTAAATTCTGATATTACTGTGTTTAAGAGTAAAATTACCTGATGGCCCCTCATCCTCTGGAAGTGGCTGATGGTGTCGCTAATGGTGTAAACCCTCACGTGACCCATATGCAGACGACCCGACGGGTACGGGAACATGGAGAGGACGTAGAACTTCTTCCGGGAGCTCTAAACATGAAAAACAAGAGTTATTCGGTGTCTCTTCCTATTAAAGGTGCTCTATGTAACTTTTAGCGGCCTCTAGTGGAGATGTTTCAGATTGCAACCAAATTTTACAAGAGCGCTCGTGCTCGAACTCATAGACAATACCGTCTATTATGCAAATATCTCGGCGAATACTAGACGGATTCGGCGAGCACCGAGCTCGTTGGGACCATCTAGTCGAGCTGAAAAAAACCATATAAGATCCATAGTTTTTGGTGGTGTTTTCGCGGAGATATTAGCAGAAAACCATCGGGCGCGCTGCAAAATTGCGGACGCCGGTGACGTCACGATCTCAGAAGAAAATCGCTCGTATCTCTGGAACGCAAAGACCCAGAGAGCTCAAATTCGGGGGAGGAGGTCCCAGGGGAACCCTTGCCCGAACGCTAGAGTGGCGGGCCTCGGGGATGCCCCCTACCGGATCGCCGTTCGCTGGGACCCCCGATTTCAAACGGCTATAACTCGGGGAGCCGGGCGAGTTGGACCTCGGGGGTGGGCTCGTTCGAAAGGCCCCGTCCAGCACTACGAACGATTAGAGTCTTGGGAATATTGATCAAAGATTGACTGAGATATAAGCCGAAAAACGTGCGCCTTTAACCGGACGTAACTCCCTGACCGTCTACAATAGACTGTATATAAGGAGAGAGGCTCGGGAGCGCGCATGCACGTCACATCCGTTGGATTTCGCGGTAAATCCGACCCGGAGACTTCACATAGAAATAGGAATACTGGCCTTCAGAGGTAATAGCAAAACTCGACAAGTGGATCATTTTAATGTGTGATTACAACCCCTTCACACACAGGCAATAAAAAAAGGATTCATTTTAGTAGAAAAGTTACATAGAGCACCTTTAAGTAGACAATTTTTAATTGATTTTTTTTAAGAATTTCTAAAAAGGGTGTTCACACTTGTGTTTCGGTTCGTTTGTTCCAGACCAGGCGTTTTCACACCTGAAAGTCCGCACCAAAGTTCACGTTTTGATACATTTTATACTTCCAGAAAGTTTTGGTTTGGTTTCACACTGCAATTATGCGAGCGCACTAAAGAACTTTACGTGACACACTTGCGTCCTGTCGTCATCATCTATGTGGGCTGCATCTTGACATTGATTGGTTTGTAAATGGACGTGCGTCTGACGTCAGCGTGTCGTCAATTCGGCGGGTAACTTTGACAAATATTTGGAAAGTTTTTGTGCGTTTTGTCCAGTTGACTTCTTATTATGTCATCAGACCATACTTCAATTAAAAGCCTCGTCTCCTCCTCTCCCCATATGCTACCACGGCTCATTTTTCCTGCCACCTTCTGTTTTTTCGGCTATTTGGGAACCACCGGAGCTTCCTGTAAAAGGTCTGAAAGTCCGAACCATACAGAAATGCTTTCACACTAGAAACGAACCAAACCTTTGTTCAGTTTGATCCGGACCGAGACTACCTCTTTTCGTCGGACCAAACTTTGTAACTTTGATTCGGACCAAACTGAAAAGTTCGAAAGTCCGGACCAAACAAGGTAGGTGTGAAAGGGCCCTTAGTCCTGGTCCGCTTAGCGTTCACATTGGCATTTTAACACCGAACCTAAAGGCATAGGAATATGTTCACAACCTGATTGGTCTGCTTTAATGACGGATATTTCACGACGGGACTTACTCAACATCCTAAACAATTTTGTATGCTGGGATAATGCGATCGCTGTATGTGCGTAGCTACATATGATGGCCTTTTTACCAGCTGAAGACTTATAAGCTTATTAAAATGTTTAAATGAGTCAAAACAGTGTCAGGAATCCCTCCGTCAAACAAACCGAGATCTGCTGTGAGGAGACGCGGTTCTGATGCCTAAACTCTGACGGGCAATAGAGAGCCTAAGTCCCTCCCCTTCCGGTCGACCACCATCGGACCTTATTTCGGAAAAATGTTGTATGGTAGTCAATGGCGAGAGAGAAATTTTTTGATCTCGTTTGAATTGTGCCCTGAATTACACATATGATGTTTGGCAATTTAAAAGATACATTTTAAAGTCAAGAAAGTCGCAGTTTGATGTAAAACTGTTGAGGTATAAGACTGTGAAAATACGTAATTACTACAAAAAATGCATTGACGATGGCGACTACAAACCCCAAAGGCGCACATTTTCTCTCAATGAATGAAGCTAACTTTACTGAAGCTAACGTCTGTCAGTGTGTAACGCCTTGCGTTATAATCGTAACGTTACGCCGTCATCGAGTGTTTTGTACCAGACTGCACACACACGAGCAGCGGATCTCGCTCGTTGTTTCGCTTCCCGGGAGATGTAGTTCATTGAGCGATTTTCACATAAAACTAAATGTTACTCTTCTGTTTCATGACAAACTGCGACTTTCTTGACTTTCAGAATTAGCTTTTAAATTGACAAACATCATATGTGTAATTCAGGGCACAGTTCAGACGGAATAAAAAGATGAGTTGTCTCTCGCCATTGACTACCATACATATTTTTTCCGAAATAAGGGCCCATGAGCCGGAAGCGGAGGGGAGGGGCTTAGGCTCTCTATATCACGACTAGGGATGGGCGTATCGATACAAAGTATCAATATATCAATACTGACGTCGAGTATTGAAAGTATCGATACTCAAATAAAAATATCGATACTACAGTTTTTTGGGGGTTTTTACCAGTGATTTTGTTTATTTGACAAGAAGTTTAATGCGTACAACATGCACTGAATTGGATGAATAACCTGTTTAGTAAATAATTGTGTAGTATAACTATTTTCCAGCTTATCTGAACACACGCAAATGCTGCAAGTCAGAAGCAATCAATCACAGAGAGTGTTCACACACTGCCGACAATGCATTCAAACAGGGCTGCGTTTCACAAAAGTATCACAAGAAACCATTGATGCTGTTGGGAAACGACTATGCCTAACCATTGATGCCTAATCACGACTATGACGAGAAAAAACAGCTGAGCATTCGGTCATTTATAGAGTCGCGCCTTATGACATCATGTCCTGTTTAGCAAATCGTTGAGCTCGCCGACAGGTCAGGGTGTTATCGCGTGCAAATCGCGGGGGATTAGCGGGCGATGAACGCTCGCCAATCTGTTAGTATGGAAGAGCCAACAACGCATCAAAGACGCTCGCAGACGCGTCGCCGAGCCCAGACAAATATCTAGCATGCTAGATATCCAGAGCTGTCGCACGACTCAACCTCACGTGATGTCATGAGCTACAGCCAATCAGAGAAAGGCATGGGTTGAGGTCACCGGGTAAATACTTATTTTTTCTTTTTTTGCGTTTTTTTCTCAGAGCAAATCATCGCGTAAACAGTTTGCAGCACTAGTTTCTGTCTGACGTCCATATTCGCGTGTTGTGTTCTTCTTCGCTGGGTATTGGCGCGCGTGCTGTTTCGTGTCATTTCCGGTTCGTTTTATCACGTGATTTTTCGTGACAAAACGTGGTTTGTAGACAAGATAGAATCGTTGGGTGACAGAGTTGTTGTCAACTCGTGTAGTGCGTTACCTCCTGTTGCGGATCAATCACGTTGTGTCGTGTGGTGTGAACAGCTCAACAACTTGAACACTCCTGATTTCACAGAGAGCAAGTCATGTAGTGTGAACCGCACAGTTCAGCCCGAGATTTTAAAATTATGTAGTGTGAACTAGGCTTTACATGTCTTTGGTCCGTATTGTGTTCATATTTCATTCGAAACTCAGTACTTTTTTTTTGTTCTTATTCCGAGTTCATTTTTTCAGCGTCTCGGTCTGCTTGTTTGTTGTCACCAGGGTTTATCTTCACACTTCTTCAACTGAACCGCACTAACAGGGCAATCACACTAGAATGAGTTTTAATCAAATCAAACCTGCCAAGTGTAAAAACACCCTTAAAGTTGTAAAGAAATAATTTGTGTTCCACACAACAAGCAGTTTTGGCATAATATAGATAAGGCTATCCCAAAAAATAGCAGGTTTCCACTGCACAGCATTAGGAAGACTAGCTTCTCGTCCAGTCCCTTGTCAATTCTAGACTGGACTATTGCAATGCTCTTCTGGCTGGGCTTCCAACATGTGCAACCAAACCTCTGCAAATGATCCTGAACGCAAGAGAGCCCATGTCACCGCTCTGTTTATCTCTCTGCACCGGCTTCCGGATACGGCTCGCATCGAGTTCAAGACATTGATGTTTGCCTACAGAGCAGCCGCGGGCTCCTCAATCCCTCGCTCTCTCCAAGAGTCCACATCTACGCTCTACATCTCCTCCAGAAGCCTGTAAGTGAGCGACGCCTCATGGTTTCACCGCAGAGAGGCACAAAATCTCTCTCAGGGATGTGGAATGATCTTCCCAACCACATCCGGACAGCCGAATCCCTCACGGTTTCCAAGAAGCATATGAAAACCCATCTCTTCCGTGAACACATAACCGCATCCTGCTAATAAACAAATAAATAAATCTCCTCTACGTCTACACTCTCACTATTCCTTAACCCCTCGCTGTTCTAGCTTGTACTATGTTGAATTACTGAAACATCTCGTGTTTATTGCCTTCTTAAGATCCTCAACTGGATAAAAGCATCTGCTAAATGAATAAATTAAAAAAAAATTGACTTTGATTTCCTTAAAAAATAAATAAAAAAAATGCAATGTTCTGGTGAGGCACCTCTACTGAAAGTTAACATGACCAATTTTTGGAGAATGTAAATAGAAATGTGAATCTTATAAGTTTATAAATGCACTTACATTAATTATTCAGATAAATGTTGTTGTGGCAATGAAATAAAATTGGATTTAACTTTACACAGAAAAGGTTAAGTAATTTTTTACACAAAAATCATGTTAACTCGCATTTTCCTTCGGCCTTGTGGCTATACTTTTGAAACAGGATACTAATGTTTACAAAATGGCCCTATTCACTGTAAAATAAGATTTTTGCTTATTTTAGAGAAAAGGAAAAAGAAGTGCTAATAAACAGATTAAAAATATGATGAAAAAAATGT